TAATCTCTTCTTTTTTTGAAATAAGCACCCTGCCCCCTTCCCTGGCCCAGAAAAGAACATTAATACTTGCTTTCAATTAAGCTTGTGAAAATATTTATAGTGAACTCAGAAGGGTCCCTCTTGAATAAGCACCCTACTGTTTTAACCCAACATTGGAATAAGTACCCTGGGCACCACTTATTTGAAGATTTACAATATTGTTGGATATCTTTCGAGCTACTCTTTTAAAACATTTTTTTTAACTATGATTGTATTGGCCCCAACTAAAGCAACAGGCCGGTACATATTAACTTCATTGATCAAAAAAATCACTATCTACTTCAGTTGGAGTCTGTTAGTGTGACTAAATTGACTGCTTACATATTTTTTATGCTTAACATATCTTTTATTGTTGTGATGTCTTCGTGCTTTTTGTATTACATTTCATATAATTTGTTGATGACACAATTTATTCATACCAGCATATACATTATAATTACTTATCCTCAAAAGGTATATTACTGCTGAGAAATTAATGCCATGTATAGAACTTTAGAATTTACATGACTTGCTATAATATCAAACTGGGTACATTACTTTGAAATAAAATTTTGATTAAAAACTCTATAAACTTTGCCATACCGTGAAAATGAGCATTTAAACACAGGCCCTTATTTTTATTTTGGTACAGAAGATTAAGTGATTAAACAACCACAGTCCCACAGTTATCATGTTATTTTTAAAACTTGTAAGTACATTAAAAGCAAATTGATATTAGTTTTTTATGTAACTGTCCTGTTATTGGCAATCTATTTTGTCAAAGCAGCTGTGGATCCACATGAGCTACTTTGACAATTTTATGATGAAATTCATGATCAATTACAGGATAGAGGCATTTAAAATTGAGGTCAATTTGCTAATTCACCCATTCTTTGGAGTAAGTGTCAACCCCCACACATGTAAGAACAATGATCTATACACACTCCCTTGATTCCGTTTTTACTCTTCAAAAGGGTGTCAAGCCCCTTCCAGAACAAAGTGAGGAAAAAGGCTTGGTACCCTTTTCGGGGAGAAAAGCAGACTCAAGGGTGTGTTACAGACCATTGTTCTTATATGTGTGTCATCAAACAATCTGGTTATAATTTCAGGCAAAATATTCTTCAAGAGAGGGTGGCTCAATGTCAAAGAATGTAGCAGTGGTGTTTCCATACATGCATGTTAATGCATTTTGTAATAATGCACTAACCACATAGTGTTTGCCAACAGCACTTAACCCGATTTTAAGATTTTTCTTGAAATCAAGGAATTTAAATGATGCCACAATGTCACCAAAAATCCACTCCACAGATGTTCGCACAGTGCTCGTGGACCTATTGAATTGCTCCATGGGAGTAGTGAGTGGAGCTTCTCTAAATGGTTGCTGTAGGTGGAGCCGCAGTGGATATGCTAGGTCGCCATAAATGCACATGGCCTCGCCAGTGACAGGACTGAATGCATTTCTCTCCAAATCGTCCAGTAGCCCAGAGTCTTTAAGCATTGCTGCATCATGTTATTTACCTTCTGTATGAGTTTAAAACAACAAAATGGCTCAATCAGTCAATCAATCAATCAATCTATCTGTCTTCTCCATCAATCAAAGATTTAACACATAGATTTAATTTGAACCCCTGTTAAGGGGATACTTAATTACTGGCTGCTAGTAAAAGTTAATCAGACTAGTGTAATGCAAGCGTGCATAAGACTCCTAGTATTTACTGTACTACAATAGCCAGCAAGATCGCAAGCACTATTCGCAGTTTGGCATGCAGTCATGTAGCAGTACGATAAAAATGATGATAATTTTTCACGTACCTACGGGTCCGTACAGGTGAGCGATGAGTCCATTTGGTAATGACACTGACTGGAATTTTAAAGCATGTACACGCTTGTGGCCATTGTAAACTATTTTTTGGTCTTGGCCTGGCCTACAAATAGGCCGCACTGTGCCATCGACAAATCCAAAGCAGTTGGACAGTGCTGCCCCTTTGTCAGCTATGGCATCAGGGTACACTCGCAGTTTGTCTCTGCTGAGGAGTTGGTCATTCCACTCTGTGATCTTGGGGTGATGATGGTCGAAAATCCACTTCTCAAAACGTGTCGTGATCATGCTTATCTCTGGCACTGCCCGTCCAAATCTGTGGATCATGTCACCCAAACGACATGGGTATGCTAATCGTTTTAGCAACATGCACAGTCCCTCTATGCGGTTGGCCTTAGTTCGTTGGTGGGAGCACAGACTCGCAGGCAATCCAAGGGCATCAGCAAGTCTGAGAGTGTCCATTTTTCTTACTCGAAACTCATGAAAGCACTCTGTTTCATCCATAGAGTCGAGATCAAAACGATCGTAGTCGGCGTGAGGAAATGATGGATTTTTGGAGAAACTAGCGTCATACAACAATAAAAATTCTTCTTCCGAAATAAAATGATGACTCCATACTAAAGAGAGCATTTCTCGAGCTTCCTTTAAACTAAACATCGTCAAGATCGAGACCACACAAAGGATGTGTTTACACTTTCACGGTCGACCGACTACGTCTGTGAGTTAGCGTAATTGTTTTGCTTCACGCAATCATGTCACGAACTCCGGTGGCGACAACGTCGTTCCCAGGTTCCCCCTCCTGCAAACAATCGAACGTCCGTGACACCCAAAGTCATCGATGCTTAAGGTCCCTATTACAGAGTTTGGGCACTACACACAGGTCCGATCAAACAGAACAGCCACTAGAGACCGATACCTTGGTCAAAGTAGTGATGCAATTGGTTTGTGATTATGAGGACTCTGAAAACTTTATCGATGCGTCCATTTAGTCACATTTTCAACCGAATTATTTTGATCCTGTGCATTCTCGATATTGGTAAGTTAAGTCAAGACCAGAACGTTTAACAATTAATCGTCTCCATTATATGAATATCCTTCGATCATGGATTACATACTGCAACAGGAACAGGAAAGTAAAAGAAGAAAAACACAATCACTGTGCAGTGTAATTTAGCCTGCGGTCAACTTGCATGGCCTGACTCTCAGTTTCTGAAACGCCTTACTGTCATTTGAGCACTGAATCATGATTCTGGCTAACTATATTAAAAAATCTAGTCATGTTCTATATACTTTTTTTCCTAATGCCGTAAGTAGGTAGCCTGCGTCGCAGACAGTCTAAACCGCCGGTATACCGGGGATTGTGTGACACGTCCGCCTGCAACGCAGGTTGTAAGTAGGGCGCAGTGGTTCTTTTACAGCATATCTGCCCCGTTGAAAAGCGGATGGATGGATCAAATGCGTAGTGTCACACAAGTGTTGTCAAACAAGCGTTGGGTGACAAAACCAGAAAATTAAATGAAATGCAAAGCAGCCGTGTATGGGTTTTGAAGGTATTTTTAGTGATTGTAATCGTTTGCCCTTCTTTTCTTAGGGACTGTTTTCAGTAAAGAAATTTATGTCTCTCGCTGTCATGGTAACAGCCAGCCTTCTTGTGGTGGAACAATGAAGACAGCATGTAAATTGATTGCTCTTGGTATTGCACATGCGCAGTGGAACGACACTATTTCTATAGATGGCACTGAGACATCACGTGATCCATACCCATGCTTACCGACAACGTCACAGCCGGATGGAATTTACGTTAACAAAAGTTTATCCTTGAGACGATTCGGCAAAGCCAAGGTATTCATTAAATGTTCATCTTTGAGGCGAATTATTTTAGATGGCAGTAACACATCAGACACCGTAACTATTTACCTGGATGGACTCACATTTATTGATAGCTGTATTGCTGTTCGGATGAGCACGCTCAATGTCGTAAATTGCAATTTTATAGATGCTACATCTCTCTCAAACGCAGCAGCCGTTGTTGATTTTAAGACGTTCGATGGGAACCATTCTCTGCTAATAGCCAAATCTGTTTTTAGCAACAATTCTCTTCCTTGTATCAGTGTCGTTGGGAATAACCTCAAAATAGAAGTTTATGATACAGTGTTTACTGGAAATAACGCATCGGAAAGTAAAGTGAGAATGGTGGATGTGGCCGTGTTCATGATTTCGGTAATACGTATGATGAGGTATCCCTCGTCTATGACATTTAACAACGTCTCTTTCATAAGAAACTTTGCGCTCAACGGAGGATGTTTGCATGTCAAAAATGCCGATAATGTGAACGCAAGTGCGAGGTATTTCAACCGAAACAGAGCAAACTATAAGGACTTGGGCCATATTTTGCAAGCGCATCCTAAGGATCACAACTCTTTTCATTCAACGTTGGAATACATTTCCGTGTCTGTGAGTGAAGGAATGTTTCTTCATAATTTTGGGGGAGCAATCATTGTTGGCGGGAATTTAGGCCTCGTTGACATTTCTGTCGTAAATTGTGACTTTATCAATAATAGTTCTCCGCTAAGTGGAGGAGCCATGCTGGTTGAGAGTAGCCGTGAATTTCGCTTACAGATTAAAGACTGCAAATTTGTACAAAATAGCGCCAGAAATGAGGGCTCAGCGATATACATCCTAGCGGTTGATTTTAAAGTAGCTAAAGGTTTTCTCCTAGTCGAAAATGTTTCGTTTCAAAGAAACATACTTCGACAACCTAATTTTATCGAGGATGTTCCTTTGGGTGGTACTCTAACAATTTGCGTAGAGTCAGCTTACCTTCAAGTAAACTTAGTTAATGTTTCCTTTTGGCATAATAAGGTTGACATGGGAAGTTCAACGTTACACTTGGATGCTCGAAATTCAGAGGTAACGATTGTCGATTGTAATTTCCATGGAAACTCACAGGATGAGCGTTTCCCGTGCGGCTGGACGACCATTTTAATTTTCTCCATTCAACTAAAGTTCACCCTGAACAGAACGAGCTTTTCCGAAAATATTGGAAGTCTTACAGCTGATAATAACACATTGGCAGGACAGCCGGTAAATTTCTTCGTGGGCGCAAGTTACGTAGCAAATATAACCATAAGTGGCTTGTTGTACAGAAACAATAGTGGAGGAGGAATGCTCTTTAAACTGGGCTCAAATGATGTAAGTAGCTCGACATTTTCCCTTGGGCAATCGATCTTTGAAAGCAACAAATTTTTCTCCATGGAGATTAGGGCGTCTACAGGTGCCCAACTGGTAATAAGACAAGTAAATTTCACGGCAAACAAGTTTGAAAGTTCTGTCCTCCAAAGCTTGGCATTGTTGTTCTTCTATATTCAAAATCAGGGAAGTAAGGTAAAGATTGAGGAGGCAACCTTTAAATACAATAGTATACAGGGTAGGATCTTACTGTTTCGATTACCACCCGACCAGAAAGATCCACTTTCATGTAAAATTCCAAGATGGATCTACAGAAACTACATCCAACTCTTTAACGCTACTTTTGACGGAAATAGCGCCGATACCTCGGTTGTGCGTTTAGAAAACGGCCACAATAACCTCAGCAACTCTCAATTTGTAGACAATTTAGCCATATACACTCTTTTTGCTTCAGAAGGGTCCACCAGTCTTGAGTTGGTCGACACATCTTTTGATCAGACGAAGAATTGGCAAAATGGACTGGCAGTCCATATAGCAGTTATGGTTCCTTCCTTTACAGGATTCATTTACTGGGCAAGTTCAGGACCAATCCAACTAAGTAACACTACTCTCTCGGTTGAGTCCTCTCAGGACATCGATGCTTATTTTATGGTCACGGGAGCAAGTGAAGCAAAGATTGATGATACATCGGTCATTCAGTGTCCAGTTGGAACTTTGAGAAAAAAGGTAAATCTCGCTCATTCTCATTTTGTTTCAAACGAAGCTTGCCCGAATGGCTTATATAACACCATGTCAGAGTCCTTTATTTTAAGCTGCAAACAATGTTCTCCAGGTTTTTACAGTGTAGAGCCTTTTGCCACTAAGTGTCGACCGTGCCCATTCGGTGCAAACTGTACAACTGATATCGCTGCAAAACCCACCTTTTGGGGATTCCCTTTGTTGTCAGATCATGGCACTGTCGGCTTCCAGGGTTGTCCGACAGGTTACTGTTGTCCCTATCTAAATGTCAGCTGTCCCTATGACAACCAGGGTTATCTGCTATCAGGCTGTTCTGGAAACCGTACTGGGTTTCTCTGTGGACAATGTAAGACTGGTTACACAGAAACTCTTTTCTCTCCACAATGCACAACCAATGATGAGTGTGAAGACCACTGGTTCTGGTCTGTCGTCCTTTTCTACAGCTTAACATTTGCTTTCCTTCTTGTTTGGAAGTATCCGGTCATGTGTTTCATTCAACGGATCTTGCCATGGAAAATAACGACACACAAAAGAGACGCTTCACCTTCTTCTCCAAACGGTGGTGGATACATCAAGGTAGTCTTCTATTTTTACCAGGTGGCTAACTTAGTATTCATGTCGGAAGCCTTTGAGATTCATTTGGAGGACAACTATTTATTGACTCCTATACTTGGTTGGTTCGACTTTAAAGCTATCTCTTCGAGTAAAACACTGATCTGTCCAATTCGCGGACTTACAGTCGCTTCGAAGATTTTCTTGGAGGCCTCTCAAGTCCTCGCTGTGCTGGTCGGTGTCCTGGTCATTTTCCTTTTTCATGGAACAGTTAGGAAAATAAACAAACAATCTCCGATTTTTCCTCCCTCTGGTCAGTATCTAAGTGCCACAACAGAATGTCTTCTTCTTGGCTATTCAGCACTAGCAAAGGGAGCACTTAAAGCATTGAACTGCGTTGAAATACAGTCAACGATACGCTTTTTTTATGATGGAAATGTCCAGTGCTGGTGTTGGTGGCAGAAACTTTGCGGTGTGTTTTTGCTTGTTTTCATCATTCCATTCGTTTTCGTCTTGTACCTTGGATCTCGTTTGCTTAATAGTAAAATTATTTCCCCAGGGCAGTTTGTATGTGGTTGCACCTTTCCTTTGCCTTTCGCTGTTATGTGGGTTGTCAAATACAGGAGGATTTTCAAAGATTCAGGAGCCATAGTTAGTAGCAACGAAGAGACACCTTTGCGTCATTCAGACTCGTGTAACAGCGCTGAACAGTCTTCCCCTTTCGGCGAATCTCTCGACCAGAGTCAAGCACATTCGTGTAATTTGGTAGAAGATGTTGTTTATGGCCCTTTCAGAAAATCCCACGAAGACCGAGGTGCTGGAGCAGTGTACTGGGAAAGCGTTTTAATCGCTCGACGTTTGGTTATGATCTGCCTTCACACTTTCATTGTTTTTCCTTTCATTAGGATTTTTTGTTTAAGTGTCACTTGCGCTGCTATTCTTGCCTACCATCTTTGGAAAAAGCCATTCCAGGACTCACGAGTTAATCATGCTGAAACAGCATCATTGGCGGCTCTTCTTCTATTGGCGATCATAAACATGGCTGATGTAGTACTTGGTATCAATGACGAGGTTCTTTCGGCGCAGGAACAGATTTGTATGACTGTGCTACATATCGTTGAAATCATTATCTTGGGAACAGTTCCCCTGGCATTTGCTCTTCTTATTGTAGTCTCCGTCCTGTGGCGGCTGTTTGAATTTATCTTTAAGTCTTTGGCAGGATGCTGTAAATCAAGTGCAGATTATATCAGAAACAGAAATGCATAGTTCTTTTTCGTAAAAGGTGGTTTATAATTATCTGAGGAGTTTTCATAACCTCCTTATTTCTGAACAAGAGCTTGTTTGATTATTTCTAGAAGTTATCGTTGATACTGCAAACGCAATCTACTGTAGCAAGTACTTTTCAGCAAAGGGCACCATTTATAATTTGGCTTTGACTCAATCTGGAGAAATTCAGTCAAGGACCATTCGAACGTTGACTATCAGTCAAAATCCGCAAAATCATCATACGATTAGTATACAGTTCTTAACGAATTTAAGGTTAATCAAGCGACTATTTTAGTGAGGAACTGAGTTATCTTTTCCTCGCAGGGTGTGGCACTCTTGATAAATATGAGGGCATGGCGTGTTTTCACAGTTTGCATACCTTTCCATTTCTGGTCACGTCTTGTTTGATATTGGAGACTGGAGACCACGAAGCAGACTGCAGATGCAAACAAGGAACAACCTTTACTCAGAAACGCTCACTCTACAATCATAAATTGCACCGTTATTTTGAAAAATGTAAAAATGCAATCCCTTAGTTCAATTATTAAATAAAATAAAAAGTGAACGAAATAACCAAAGATGTCAAGAACGTTTAACAACGTCAAAATAGCAGCAAGTTTTATTGCTACTTACTGGGGATTGTCCTAATGGCTTGGATTTCCCACTGCAAGAAGACTGACTTTGTTCCCGTAAATCGTTTTGATAAAAAATTTACTAGCTCTTGGCTCTCTCTGTCCTTCAATTTCCCTTCAAACCTATTTTTTTTATTCATCCCCTCTACCCATGTGCAAACTGAAGGCTCTGGCTTGGTGTACGGTCATTTTTGTTCTAATTAAAATCCAAGTAGATAAATCAGAACCCATATCACACCTACAAAGCCCGGAGATGTCTGGACCTTTTTTCCAATTTTAATTGGCATCAGAAGCGCATGGTTTAAAATAGCTTTACAGATGACAATGACGGCAAATCGGTTCGTGTTAAGTGATAGTCTTTTTTACTGTAATACTCTGGGTAACTTCTTTATTTAATCTTAAACGGGTTCTGCCTAGACAGTCGATCACAGAGGTAAAACTAGTTCTAGGTGTCTTCTGCACCTCTTACCAGAGAAAAAGAAAAGAGGATAACTCGTCTAGTAAGCTCTTGAATTTTTATGAAAATTGGATGAGTCGTGTTTGGAGAGTAAAATGCCTGATGCGTCATTGTGAAGACTCGACTAGCACCCACTGATTAATGATGTACTTCCAAATTTAACTTTCAATCAATTTTATCAGCTCTCCAGCCATAATTTTCAAGAAAATTTGATATACTACTCGTGCAATCTCGATTATTATCGTGAAGTTTTGTACCTGGGTGCCGTTTGAGTCATTTTCGGATGAAGTGAAAGGCTAGCAGGATCAAGGAAAGTACAGTTGAAAACCGCAGAAAATCCCAATTTCCTTTGCCTAAGTCAATTGTATCCAATTTTAAATTCATCGGGTTTCGTTGTTTGGATGATAAATTCTATTTATTGCTTGTCTCCGATCCGAAACGTTTTTAAAAAAACCTTATCGTAAGATTAACGGTCACTTTCCAAAAGAAATGTTGTAATGAGGCTTTGGAAAGGTTTGCAAAGCTTTGCTTAACTGTATGAAAATTATTACCAATGAACGGCTGCATATACTNTTGTATCCAATTTTAAATTCATCGGGTTTCGTTGTTTGGATGATAAATTCTATTTATTGCTTGTCTCCGATCCGAAACGTTTTTAAAAAAACCTTATCGTAAGATTAACGGTCACTTTCCAAAAAAAATGTTGTAACGAGGCTTTGGAAAGGTGTGCAAAGCTTTGCTTAACTGTATGAAAATTATTACCAATGAACGGCTGCATATACTAATGTTCTTCTCACGAAAAATGTGTTTTTGAATTGATGTTGAAAATGACGCCTATTAAGACCCGTTTCAATAGAGTTCAATAAAGGCGTAAAGTGAAGCTTTTATGTTAGAACCTGCGAGATGGTTTGCATTTTCACACTTCAAAGAAAAAGTCTAATGGCCTCCTGGCCGTATGGAAACGACACGATATTCTGAGGTCTAAACTGGAAGTGTTTTTTTAGGTGTGTTTTTGTGATCTTTGTGAGAGATTCTTTGCTAAAGATTATTCTGAGCTGTTACCCAGAGAAGAAGTACAATAACGCAGCTACTGCCAGGGTATGAATGATCCTTCCTTCAAAAAGTTTAACCTTGGTCAACTAATGTGAGGATAACAGCAAACCTCCGGCAGCTGCCAGTTAGTTAGGCTTAAAAGTAATCGTCGTGCAGATCGCACTTTTCTTCTCTAACTTTCCCTTTGTGCTCAAACGTGAAAGAAGCTCATCAATTTAAAAAAGGTACAGAATGGTCGATGAAACCTTTGCATGGGAACCAAAACAGTTTGTTTTGATTTCGGCATAAACTTGGGGATTTATCGACTCTCTCAGGAGTTTGTGTTCGCTGTTCCTCATAAAGTTCCTTGATAATTTGCAACATTTTCAAAGACTGAGGGGTCTGCATCGTTACGTGGTCTTCTTCTTGTCTTTATAAGGAGCACATATATATATATATATATTTCGTAAATTAATGTTTGGCAAAGGAATTTTGAGGAGAATTAAAAATGAAGTTCTGTTTATTCCAAAGGTTCTGTGATCACAACAAGGAAAATATCGCCGTAACGCAGCGAAGGAAAGGTAAACGACTTTTCTTTGCTTGTTTATTCAGTAATAAAAGGATTCACAATTGGTATGGATCACTTTGGCACTCATGTCCTCGTATCCCGATTGGGTGGTTAAACCTCAACCATCTGCTTAACTTACTTCAACACATCATTTGCACTAAATAGGTGCATTAACCCCCAATTGGGATAAGTCTGGTGGTAGACGGACTTGTTCATTAAGATCAAAATGTTTTCTTTCTTTCCTTTTTTTTTATTCTTTCTATAGCCTGAAATACATCTGAAACTTGATTTTTGTCAAAATTGTTGGAGAATCAAGATCTTTATTTCATTTTCCCTCGACTCTTGTCAGGTTAGGAAAAATGTATTTTTTCTCCAAATAGATACGATCAAGTATTGTCTGAAATCATAAATCATTTTCTTAAAAACGGACTACAGTGAAGATAAGGAAAACCGGTGCCAGGATATTCGTGAAAAAAAAAAAAAAAATAACAAAGCACCTTAGATTTGCCCACCACAAGAAATTGGAATTGCTAAAATTTTGATTCTCGCCCTCTACCTTTAAAAATTATTGTTGTGACTGAATTGAATTATATTTGGTGGCTAGTGTTGATGAATAATCCACCTGCTACAAAATGGTTAGGCTATTCATGGTTGTTTTCACCGGGTTGTTGTTGGCAACAATTAAAAAAAAGACGGTTGTAGGAATGATGCTCTCTTCGACTCCGTTTGTAAAAAAAAACAAAACAACAACAACAACAAAAAAACATTACGAAATAAAGAACAGAGCAAGGATTCACACTTAAATATAAAATTTTTGTGATCGTTCATTAAATCTTTCTTTGATTTCCTGGATCGCTTTCGAAAATTTTTTTTCCCGACACCTTTCCGAAAAAATCTAAAAACCGGAAGACGTTTCATTGTACGTCAAGAAAACCTAATTCTTCCTTGAAAAAGACCCAGCGCCAATGAATAGAATGTAGCATTTCTTATTCATTATTTTAGAATATGACTTCAGAGGAGATATATTTGATCAATGTTCACGATCCATCCTGGTAATTTATTCACAATATGCACTTGAAATACGAGTTGACAAGAGACCTTATTAAAAAAGTTTCACGTTTTTAGGTTTTATCAGGAATGTGTTAAGAAAATATTTTTTCAGTTTTAATTCTTTATTAAAAATCATTACGAGTATTTTCACGAAAAAGATAACTGATATGAGGAGAAGAAATTGTCCATGATCACAAGGATTCCGTCCTTAGGCCGATGCCGGCCTTTCCTATGAACGGAAACAATTTATCATGAATGAAAACCGAAATAAAGGTACGAACCATTAGAATCAGAATGGAATAGGGTGTAAATTGACTCTTTGTTGTAAGATTTCTAAAGATAATCTTCCTTTTTTACGCGACTTGAAAAACTTCACCCTAATGATATTTTTTAAAGAAGTTCTTCACCCGAACTGCACGAAACTGGTAAGAGTGGTGTAATTTCCGTAAAGAATATTTACACGGTTTTTTTGTAGACGAAGTGTTGAAACTCTCGGTTCATATCAACAAAATGAAATCGCGGTGTGCGATGTCCTAGTTTAAAGAAAATTACGATAGGCAATTTACTGCAAGACGGTAAATAAAAGATATTAATTAACGTAAAAAAAATATCCCAACCTTCTATTACAAGTGCAAATTAAGATTTGTTTTAAAAATGCAAGTTGTCAGATTTTCAGTTGATATGACTTACGATATTCGATTGGTAGCAAAAATTGCATTTCCAAAATTTCCATTCAATATAGCATCCCCCAAAAGCAGTGATATCTTTTTTTTGTGTGGTAAATTTGAATTCTTAAAATAAAAGCTTTTGGATAAACTTACTACCAACCGCGATTTCAACTATTTAGAACCGTCCTATTAGAGAATTCTGAAAAGATTACATTGATTGGTAAAACTTGAATTTGAAGCCAAACAGAAACTTAAACTTTAAGCTTTTTTTTTTGTCGTATGGAATATTTCATCCCCACACTTTGTTTTCAATCTGACTGTGGCCTGTAAAATTGAGAGCCCCACATACCCTCGATAACAGATAATCTAGTTGATTGAAACCGAAATAAGTATTATAATTAGTAAAAATATCGCAGCCTTCCGGAGGAATAATGATAATAATTTTTTCTTTAACCTTGATGTAAATATCCTACAGAAATATGAACAAATTTAAATAGTTTTAAAAACACAATTCCACCTAGAAATTTGGGAGCAACGTGAGATGACATTTTCTTGGAGATTTCCTTGTGAGAAAAATCCATCAAATTATTGTTAATAAAAACCTTTTGGTAACACGTCAATAGCAGTTTGTAATTACATGCTAATGACGTCTCTTCTGTCATACCGAGTTCATGAGGCATCAGACATAATTTATTCTAAACAATTCTTATAATGGATTAAAGGCAGTTCTGTTGTAGACATCTCAGTATTTGCGTTCAGCGCCTGAACCTCAAACACACCAATGCGCCATCTCGCACAAAAAAAATGAAGACAGCTCTGGCTATGGCAGTGAGGTAAGATTTGGCTATTCGACATTCTTCATATAATTTATCCAAAAAAGAAATGAATTCCACTTTTTGAAATCACGCTTTTTGCATTTTGCTATGTTTACTGTTGTGAAAGACAAATAACGTTCCATGTAGCCACGAAAATAAAATAACAAATGTAATTTTAAAGGATGTTCCATTTATGGCGCAATACGTCCAAACTGATAACTGATATCCGACCGAAAATCAGGACGTATGAGTCAACAAATGATCATATAAATAAAGTTGTCAAGTGTCGTGTTGATTTGAATGAAGACGAGGCCTTCAAATTTGTTTTAGAAACTGTAACCT